CCTAACCCTAACCCTAACCCTAACCCTACAATAAAAACAATGCTTAAAGTTTATATCGTGCTTGCTCCTTGGTCGACGACAATGTTTTTGATTTCAACATTCTCTCAATTCTAGCAGTGTCCCCAAATAATTTGTCCGTAGGATCATCTTTCCCTGAGAAGTGATGCGAGATCCTACTCTCTGATACTCGTCCATGAAAATTTCACGTTTCTTCATTTAAATTTCCTTTGATTCTGATGGCATTCTCTCAATTCTTCGATGCTTTTTGCAGGACGCAGCCTGAAGGCTTGACAACCACTCGATGATTTTATTTATTTGGCCTTTAAGAAAAATTTGGGCTAGGCGGGGAGAGGTGTGACTTGGTTCCCTTATTCTCCCCGGTCCACATGCACAGACCTACGCGTAGGTCCAGATGAAGCCCTCGCTTACCGCGGCGGCAAGGCTCTGTGCATGATGGAATGGGTAGTCGACAAGGATGAATTAGATATGGATGAATCAGATAGAGCATCGCATGACGACACTAGGAGAGATGTACACACGATGGGACCACCATAGAGGACAGGGGCATCGTGCCCCCTGCGTCATGGCCTGCATCCAAGACATACCGTGCCATCCGACGAGGATGCGATCGACCGCCAGGTACGTGAACCAGCGGCGGTTTGCTCCGTCCAGGTGGCGCCCGCATTGGTTGACGTCCAGATAAAGCCATCCCTCACCACGGCGGCAAGGCTCTGTGCATGATGGGATATGTAGTCGAGGAGGATGCGTCAGATCGAGCATCGCATGACGACAGTAGGAGAGATGGACACACGATGGGATCACCATAGAGGATAGGGGCATCGTGCACCTTGCGTCATGGCCTGCATCCAAACACGTACCGTGCCATCCGACGAGGATGCGATCGATGCCCAGTCACGTGAGCCAGCGTCGTTTCGCTCCGTCCAGGTGACGCCCGCGTTGGTCGACGTCCAGATGGAGCCATCACTAACCACGGCGGCAAGTCTCTGTGCATCGGAAAAGATCGAATCGACCAGGATGCGTCAGATCGAGCATCGTATGGCGATCCTGGACGAGAGATTCACACATTATGGGACCACCATCGAGGACAGTGGCATGGTGCTCTTCGCGTCATGGCCTGCATCCACACACGTACCGTGCCATCCGACGAGGACGCGATTGATACCCAGTCACGTGAGCCAGCGTCTGTTTGCTCCGTCCAGGTGACGCCCGCGTTGGTCGACGTCCAGATGGAGCCTCCGTCTACCACAGCGGCAAGACTCTGTACGTTGGAAAAGATCGAATCGACCAGGATGCGTCAGATCGAGCATCGCATGGCGACCCTGGACGAGA